ACCCTGCTGCAGGAACTAAGAGACTTGACAATGGCTGTCTGAGCCAATAGAGGATTTCATAGCTTAACTCTTGGGGTAGAAAACACCTGTTGGCCCAGGGCAGATGCTGCAGACCTTGCAAGGACACAGCTAGCCTGCTAGCCTGCAATGCTGTCCAAACCCAGCTGCTGGAGTTTTGTAAATTATTCATCAGCTGGGGTTATAAATTAGAGATGAATGGGAGACCTGTGGGCCTGATCTTGGATGTACTTCTTATTAAAGACTTTGAGGCATTTTCTTCTGTAGATGAGGGTTTTTGATAAGAGGACCAGCATTCTTCGGTTTGTAGGAATTACTAATGTTCTTACTGTTTTGCATACGATTCTTATCTCCAATTCAGCTGTCTCAGGGTTTTAGAAAAGTTATTTGCTAGGAAAGGTAAATGTAGTCAATCAGCCATTTAATTCAACTTACCGTTCATATCCTTCTGTTATGAACACTGCATCCAATTCTTTAGAGAAGTTGAACTTACCTCTCTACGGGCCACCAGCAAAACTGCTTTGCTCGTAGTTGTGTTCAGCATCTAAAATTCCCAAACACTTTAATTAAAAAGACAGGGCTCTCCAGGATGTCAGGTTTACCCATCTCAGTGAAATAAGCTGTGAAATAGCCAAAACTTCCTGCACTTTGATGAGTGCCTGGAGACAGGAAACACAAGGACACTTAGAAATACCAAAGCGCTTGTGTGCCTCTTAAGTGTCCCAGCACATGCAGCCACAGACACTGTTCAAATCTGCACCTCACCAGGTATCCATCTTCCTCTCTCACACATGCATGCACACAAATCTGGTTGCAGAGACAAGAAATTTTGCTCATATTTTTTAATGTATCACAATGAGCAGGAAACATACTTGATGAAATATTTTCAAAGGAGTATATTCAATTACCATCTACAATCAACTTAACTATGACAACAAAGTTTTTGTGACAAATTTCTTTTTTTTTTTCAGTTTGAAAGTTCCATGTGGTTCTGTTTGTTAGTCTCCATGTATTTTGGTACAGTTCGAGATCAGCATCGTTACAGTAACAAAAAAGCTAACAAGACTACATTATAGAAAAACACCAAGAACATCATTTTTGGTTTCACTTGCTCTATTTTTTTTGTTTTTTTTTTGTTTTTGTACTTGTTTTTTGTTTTTTTGTACATTGCAAAGGCTGTTCATATACCTCTTCACCTCAGGGTCATGTTCATTTATGCTTTCTTTCCTACCCAACCTTGCCCCCCTCCCCCCCCGAAGAAAGTAAACAAACAAAAGAAACTAGTCAAAGCTTTGTTTCACAGTGGGCAGTATCTCAGCGCCAACAAACAATCAACTCAATTTATGCTTCTATTTAAAATGTTTTAATTTAATTTATTATTAAAAATAATATATGTCCATGAACATCAAGTGCACTGGCTTGGGTCACTGCCTCTCTCTCCTGCAACTTCCTGCCATGCCTGATAGACTCAGGTTTAAACACATGCCGTCTGTTTTACTTTATTTTCAATTGTGTAAAACTTTGGCCACATTCATCTCTTTAAATAGCTTTTAATTAAAAAAAAAAAAAGAAAAACTTCCTAAACTTTTGTGTGTGTGTGTATGTTTCCTTCTTACATTTCTTTTTGAAAGGAAGGATGGATGAACCAACTCCCATTCTGTGGGTCCATATGGTGCTATGACTGAATGGCGTCCAGCACCAATGCACACTGGAGTATTTGGAAAAAAACAAAAACAAAAAAATGAAACAGTGAGGTGTCGATGGAAGTGAAGAACTCTTTTAAAAAGTAAGTTGAGATATTCTTTTCACCTACCTGCTATGCAGCAGACAGGAGTAAATTCTCCCAGTGAGAACAATATAAACAGTTGAGCACTGTAGTGAACTCATGCTTTGTAAATGATACCAGTCACAGCCATGCTGGAAGTCAGCCCACAAACACCTAACTGGCTCATGTCTGACCTCTCATTTTCACCATCACTGACTGCTCTGCTACTTCTGGGTTAATGCTGAAAAATCTCTTTTTTTGAGTGGATATATATGGGGGCAGTAGAGTTGTAGAGGACAGCATTACGTGTGCAACCCACTCCAGGTTGAAACAATCACATAACCCCTCTGAGGAACACTGGCGGGTGGAAGCATGCTTCGGCCATCTACCCCATCACCTTGCTGTTGCCAAACATACCCACAGGTCAAGGCATGGAACTAAATGCTGACAGTCACTGTGCCTCACAGAGGGAGGATGGCATAGTAGCTCAAAAAAAGGGGGCGGGGGGTGGCAAAATTACAAGGAAATGAACTTAAAGTTGACGGGGAAGGGAAAGGAGAAATTGCACTATTACCAAGCAATATCATTTTTAAAAACAAAGTTTTCTGAAAAGACCTAGCAGAATTTGACAGGTAAAGCTAGTGTTGAACTGTTAATTGGGATCACATAGAGAGCCGAAAACAAAAACACATGATTTTTTTCTATATGATACAGACACAGAGTAACATACAACAGTTAAATGGCAAAAAATATATATATATATTTCATAGAGTTACAAACAAGATAAAATAATGAAAAACAGAAAACTGTACAACTTTAAAATTTAAAAATGTTCATCTCAAACACGGGGAGAAATAGAATTCTCGTTAAAAGAAAATAGCTTGTTAAAACAGCAAATGTCTTGTATACTTGTTTTTGACACCTTATGCTACAACTGGATACTGGTATGAATAGTTAGATGGTATTCTTTAGTATTTCTACTTTTTAAAAAAGCAATTAGAAAAGGAATTTGCACTGTGCATCAGCCTAGTTAGAAATATGTACAACAGTTCAGGATCTATTCTTTCATTAAACTAAAAAGAGATTCATAAAAATAAAACAGTCCCGGCTAAAAAAAGGAGAAAGAGAGGAAAAAAACAACAAGAAATTCATTTTCAGATCTTGGAATGCTCCAGTCTTTTGCAAAGTCGATGAGTGGCTTCAGCATTGGGGAAGGAAGCCTGAAAGGTGACCAATGGAACCTGCATTCACAGTCTTCAAAGTTCCCTTTTGAAACATAAGGAAGAGAATGAAGGGGAGAAGGATTTCACACTTTCGGGGCAAGGGGAGATTGTTTCTGTTGATGTTCGGCTAGAAAGTGAAACAGCAAAGCATCTATTTGTCCCCCGAATATATGTTTTAGCAGCACAAAGTTTTCCTTTCAAAGTTCAGACTTTTTTTTAAAGATGAGGAAGGTGTATATTGCATTGTGTTGTGTGTTACCAGGATATGGATATTAACATAAACACAAGTGCCTCGCATTCGATTCCTTTTTGCTCTCTGTGCATTGCTATCTGCTTCTTTGTTGGCTGCGCTGTGGATCCCTCGCCGCTCAGACTGCCTAACACAAGGACAAAACTTTGAAGTAAAAAAATGTGTCTTTTGGTATATGGAATTGTCATTAACAGTTGCCTCTCTGCTTGCAGAAGAAGCATATAACAACCTGGGAATCTTTTGTTTTACTCTTTCTTTTATTAAACTAAGTCTTGTATGTTTAAATCAGAAACAAATTCTCAAGTAACAAGAACCCTTTCCCTTTTTTTCTGCATCAGCAGTGAAAGGGTGTGTCTTTGGATTTTATTTAAAGCATGAAATTTCTTTTTCTGAGAAGAAAACAAAATGAAAACAAAAACCAAACCCCTAACAAAAAACTTTTTTAGAAAAGAAAAGCACACAGCCCAATTAAACCAAAACAAATGCTTTAGTTTTAGGAAAATAATATTTGAAGCAACTACCAAACAAGGAGGAAAGGAGGGTGAAAAGAAAAGCCAAAGAAAAGATAAATAAAAAGTAAATGCACAAGGCTAAGAAGAGACATAGGTAACTAGAATTATATGCCTTTAAGAAGTTTCAACTCCCCAACCGAAAATAATCTTTGAGGATCCTAACGACCCCTAGAACCCTTTGAAATTCTTTCTTTAGCGTCATAAAATAATTCTGCAGCTACCGTCTAAGAAATGAAGGCAGCTACCTTAAGTGGGAGACTATAGGATGGGAAGTGGGAGGAAGCAAGAGAAAGTGGAATTAAGGGACAAAGGGGAGAAAAGCTTAGGCGAATCAACGGATTGCAATCTATCTGCTAGGAATGAACAAGACAACATCAAATGAGGAGCTGTCAGCTGGACCATACAAAAAGCTAAATGTACACAAAAGTTTTTTTTTTCCTTTTAAATCTACCATACTGCTTCAGTTCATTTCCAATGCAACAATCTACTCAACACCAAAAATGGTCATATCTATCATAAATACAGAAAGTCAGTTTTTAAAACTTTTTTAAGCTACAAGTCCTCAACACTCTTTGTGTGTGTGGGTTTTTTTTTTTCTTTTCTGGAAGTGGGAGTGCTTAACTTTTCCCCTTGATATTGGCTTCAGCAGAAAAGCTATCCTTAGAATCCCCAGAAAGCTAAAGCAGTTCACATTGTTTTTCTCGAATACTTTCTGCCCGTTTTTAAATTAACAAAACAAAAAAAATCTTTTCTGGAACCAAAAAAAAAAAAAAAAACTGAAAAAATAATATATATAAAAACAATGCTTCTGAAAACAGAACAAAGTGTGAGCGATTGACCTGAGAATAAAAAGACATTACATTTCTTTTTTTTCTTTTAGCAAGCCATTGGTATCTGAATGCTAAGATAGCAAGAAATTTAAAACTGTAACAAGGTGGACTGCTTTCCCATACAGTGCATGCCGGGCTCCTCTGTGCTATCAAGGGGGGTGTTTATTGAAAAGGGGCAAATATACAAGGGGTTTAAGCTCCAAAGACATTAGGGAGGCCCTGTGGACTTCTGTTTCCCAGACCAATAGTACCTTCAAAAGGACACAATGTAAGAGGGTTCAGTTGTTTTATTTCATTTTTTTAATATATTAAAAGAAAAAAAGAAGAATGTAAAATCACCGGCATAGATAGGTATATGGGA